CTCGTTTCAACTTTTTTCAGCCTAATTCAACAAAAACGTGCTCTCTCCACTTCATTCTGGTAACTTCAGCTTCTTTCTGCTCGTTTTCAGCTACTTTTCAGCTGTTGTTTTGACTAATTTCAGCTCATCAGATAATTTCCACTGTTTTGTGCTCATTTCTGCTTCTTTCAGCAAACGTGTTATTTCTACTTTATTCTGCTAATTTAAGCTTACTCTACCTTTTCAGCTAGCTTTTTTTTTTTAGCTAATCTCAGCTGTTTTCAGCTAAATTCTATTTTTTGTGGTCGTTTCTGCTCATTTCAATCTAATTAACTTCTTTTTGCTATTTTCATCTTGTTATGCTCCTTTAAGCTTTTTTTCTGCTAGTTTCAGCTTTTTATGCTATTTCAGCTACTATTTAGCTCTTTTAAGCTAACTTTAGCTTTTTCAGCTAATTCCAATATTTTTTTAGCTCATTTGAGCCCTTTCTGCTTGTAATTTAAGTTTGTTTAAGTTAGTTTCAGGTTCGCTACCTTTTCAACTACTTTTCAGCTATTTTAGTTTTTGCTAATTTCAGCTTGTTTTAGCTAAATTCCTAAATGTTGTGCTCATTTCTTCTTTATTAAATTAAATTCAGCAAAGATGTATTCTCTCTGGTTTTCTATTTCTAATTTAGGATTTTTTTTCTTCATTTCAACTACATTTCAGCATGTTTTTAGCTAATTTCAGCTGTTTTCAGCAAGTTCTTCACGCTGCATTTTTGGAGGAAATGCAATTTCTCTAATGAGCAATTTGAATCAGGTGTGTTGAAGCAGGGACGGGCAAACAGAGGTCAGGACCCGGGTATTTATCACAAACAGCAGTTTTCTCCTCTCATATAAAAGCTGTAAAGTTTCATTTTTATTTTTCTTACCACCAGCACGGAGGTCCTGACGGCCTCCGACACGCTCTGCCTCAGCTCCGCGGCGGTGCCCGGCTTGTTCAGCCCCCGGGCGAACCTCCTCGGCTCAGGCGGAGCAGAAGAAGCCATGGAGCCGCCCGCGTCTCATCTGACACCCTGCAGGTCCCGGGGCGCAAAACAAACTGCTCCGAGCCTGTGCGCTGCAGCGAGGTATACTTGTGTAATCCCGCACTACTACTGCGACTGTCCCCCAGGGTCAAACGGAACCGAACGGTACCACACGGACCCAGTGGGCTCTGTCCCACCAGCGGAGGACCCCTCTGACAAACCGACACGCCTCCGTCACTTGGTGTCATCATACACCACACGGTATACCGACTCCTTTAATCAGCTTAAATATTTACTTCTGTTTGGCTAATTAACGCTGCACGTTCATGTTACAGCACTTGGCAACGTTACCTCAGTTGGTTGAGGTGGCAGAAATACTTTATTTACGGTTATATAACTGGAAAAACAACGTGACAGCGCCACCTGCTGGACTCTGACGTCATTACAGCCGGGTAAATAGATTTTTTTGCTTGTGCTTCCCTCTTTAACCACACGGGGGCGGAATAACAAAGCTAATATCAGGATAAACTACATTTTCTGTGCAGGTGATTGAAATTGCTGAATAAGCTGTTTTTTTTTTATAGCTTTTATTCATACATGTAGTCTCATCAAGAGAGATATTTTTGGGAGCAAATGGTGTGGGGGTTAAGGGCCTTGCTCAAGGGCCCAGAGTGGGGTAAATGATAGTGGAGGCAGTGTTGTCGGTCCAGGGAATCGAACCGGTGACCTTCCGATCACAGGTCCATCTTCTCTGCACCACCACTCCCCATTACATTAACAACATGTGGAACAACAAATGCTAGAACGGGTGAAATGTACAAGATGAGCATTCCAGTAGCTATAGGTGCCACAAAACATATGCTAAAGCTAAAAACAGTAGCTGAAATCAAAACATATCTAAGCTGAAATGAACAAAACTGTAGCTAAAAGCTGAATGTGCTAAAGTTAAGCGGATAATCATATGCTAAAGCTTAAATTAGCAACAAAAAAAAAACTTTAAACTGGGTAATAGTGGCTAAAATAAAACTGATTTTAAAGCTAAAATGATCCAAACAGTGGCTAAAAGCATAGCTTGTTAATATTAAAGGCAGCAAGCTTGCATTAGCTAAACAAACCTTAAAGCTAAAATTAGCAGAAGGTTTCAGCTTTTTCTACTCTTTCAGCTACTATTTAGCAGCGTTATGCTAATTTTAACTTTTTCAGCTAACTCCATGTTTTTTGCACTTCTTTCAGCCTAATTCAGGTTAAATGTGCTCAATCCACTTCCTACCTACTGCTACTGATAATTTAAACTCGTTTTTGCTTTTTTAGCTTCTTTTCAGCTGTTATTTGCTAATTGTTGTTGTTTGTTTTTTCAATAATTTCCACCTTTTTGGGCTCATTTCTCCGTCTTTCTGCTTTTATTGGCAAACGTGTTCTTTCTGCTTTATGCTAATTTAAGCTTATTTTACATTTTCAGCTACCATTTTAGCTGTTTTCAAAACAACTAAAAGCATCAAAACCTCTGGATGCCTCCCTAGGGAGGTTTTCCAGTAAAGTCCAACTAGGAGATCCCATTAAGATCCGGGACACACTGGAGAGACAATGTCTCTCAGCTGGCCTGGGGATGTCTCAAAGAGTCCTGGAAGAGGAGGCTCTGGTAAGAGACGTCTAGACCTTACTGCTCAAGCTGTTGCCTTCACAACCCGACTCCAGAAGAGATGGATGGATGGAACATCTGGGTTCTGGTCGTTGACTCTAGACTCTAGATATACATGGTCCTTGGATCTTTTTACTGATCCTAATGTACATGCTCAGTCATTTAGACATGCATTCTTCTGGTTCTATGACATCTACAGTAATCAACTTTTATTATTGTTTGTATATATTGTTGTTACCACTGTCGATTTAAGGCTTCCTTATCTGACGACCAAAAAAAAGTCTAAGAAATGATGTCTAAGTTTGATGTTTCATCTTTGGGTTCACTTTATTAATGGTTGGTGTTCCATAAATCAGGGGTTCCCAACCTTGGTCCTTGAGGAACACCATCCTGCATGTTGTAGTCGTTTCCCTGCTCCAACACACTTGATTCAGTGATTTAATTACTTCATGTTCTGCAGAAGCTTGTAAATCACCCATTTATTATAATCAGGTGAGTCGGAGCAGAGAAACAACTAAAACTTGCAGGATGGTGTTCCTCAAGGATCAGGGTTGGGAACCCCTGATTTATAACACCAACTATTAATAAAGTGAACCCAAAGATGAAACATCAAACATAGACATAATTTCTTAGACCTTTTTGTCAGATAAGGAAGCTTTAATCAACAGTGGTAACAAATGTATTCAAACAGAAACAACTAAAACTTGCAGGATGGTGTTCCTCAAGGACCAGGGTTGGGAACCCCTTGCTCCTGACCGCAATGCATCACAAAATAACGATTCTGAGCTACGGTCGACAGACAGGAAGTGGCCTCCTTCCGGATCAGATTTGATCTGTGGATCACCAGTTGAGGACCACTTCAGTATCGAACATCTATTTGTAGATTGTTTTCACACTATGATATTCTGGTCTGAAATACAAAAACTGCTTACTGAAAAAAATTAAAAAGTACATTGTGTTATCAAAAATGCAAATATTGCTCATCTTTTAATAATTCATTCTTTTCTTCAGATGAACTATTTATAATAAATCTAATTATAATCATAGCAAAATATTACATACACAAAATGAAGTGGAATGGAAAAATACCCTCATTTAATAATTTTAAAGAAACTGACCTAAAGATATATATTGCCTTTTATTGAAAAGCTTAATTTTAACAATAAAAAACTTCTAAGAACAAAAACTCTTATGCATAAATGTAATTTTATCCTATAAGCAGATCCCTTTGTTTATTATTCCTTTTCTCTTTGTATTGTATTTCTTTGTTTATTGTTTCAGATCCTCTGCTATTTAAACTTGAAGTTATTTTTGTATATTTGTTGATGTAGTTGCATTTATATTTAGTTAAGAACTGTGAGGTCTAGTTTGATAGGGTCTGTGATAGTTATGTATCTTTTTTTTTTAATTATTGTGTTTTGATGCTTCTTTGGATTGGAAGAATTTTGTAATTTTGTCTGTTTGAAATAAAGTTTATATAAAACAAATAAAAATAAAAAAGTTGACCCACTTTTTTAAATTTAAATGTTCAATTTCTAGTTTTTAGTATTGACTACGCATGGGTTCCAAACCCTGGTCCTTGAGGAACGCCATCCTGCATGTTTTAGTTGCTTCTCTGCTCCAACACACCTGATTTTAATAAATGGGTGCTTTACATGAAGTAATTAAATCGCTGAATCAGGTGTTTTTGAGCAAGGAAACAACTAAAACATGCAGGATGGTGTTCCTCAAGGATCAGAGTTGGGAACCACTCTTTTTTTTTTTTTTTTTTAGCGGAACAAAATGAGAGAAATATATTTTGTTTGCGTTTAAACCGCTCCAAACACACACACACACAACCAGCTTTGTGTGTCTGTACAACAACACAGTCCAGTAAGTACCTGGAAGTGTTTTCCTGCTGTATCCTCCGTCTGCCGCACCGCGGCGCTGCACCGCCCTTCCTGGCTGCGTGGGACCGACCACAGCAACCCGACACCGGAGACGGCTGCTCCAGACGAGCCCCGCGAACGAGGCGTTCCCAGCCCCCCGGATCGCACCGAAAAAGATAACCATCTCCTCCGTCCGCCGGCTCCGAACACCGGAGGGGAGTGATTTCCGTCCACTGCACACCAGAATGGCTGAAAACAGGCGACGTTAACTTGATTAGTTCTTTAATTTTTTTGTTTATTTTATTTAATAACTGCGACCGTGACGTGACTGGACGAGTTAGCTCGGCGGCTAGCATCGTTAGCTTCCAAACGTTTTTTTTTTTTTTTTTTACATTTTTTTTTTTTTTTGGATACAAAAGTCAAAAAGGTGGACTCCGATACAAAGCGTACTGCTTTTATTTAAACGTACCGGGCCCCTTTTTGGGTTTTTAAATAATTTTTTTTCGTTTTTTTAAGGTTTTTTTTTTTTTTTTTTTAGCACCAGACTGTAGCAGCTAGCATGCTAGCTCGCAGATATGGACGCTGTTCGGTGGAGATTTGCAGATGGCACATCGGCCAAACAAGTTAGCTGCTCGGCTCATCTGTTCGCGCCCTCCCCGAGACAAAAACAGGAACAATTTTAAATTTTAGTTTCTGGTTTATTAGTCATCAAACTTCGTGTGCTCGCTCTCCCATCACAACAACAACAACGTCTATCTCTTTTTTTTTAATGCATCGTTTCTCAATGTGTCATTCCATGCCTGCTGGAGCAGTTCAAGCTGAAAAGGGAAAAGGGGAAAGAAATCTAGTAACTACATAAAGAAGAGGACCAAAATATATATATTTAAATCTAAAGAAGCAGGGCTCGGAGGAAAGCCGAGCACCAGACCAAAGCTGCTGTCATGGCTGGGAGTCGAACCGCCACGAAATCTCTCGTAACATGCGTCTTCTGCCTGACGATTCTCCTGACTTCAGTGGCTGGTGAGTGGAAAGAATCGGTTTGTTCAAGTCCGAACTGTTTGTCTGATGATGTCTCGATGGTTTCCTGTTGCTCTGCTTGGTTTTCTTTGGCGCAGATTCACCTGATAGTTGCTGAACGAATTGATTCACTTTTCGAATAATGATGTGATGGTGGTTTAACCTCAAGATACAGTTCAGGCTCTAATCCTGGCCGGGTTCAGACTTTAATTTTTGTACGATTTAAAATCCGTGTCATTTAGACCTAAGCTAAATGAGATTCCAACTAATCTCAATACGATTCAGACTTAAATCATTACAGTTCGACTGGAATCTTGGTACGCTTTAGATTCGAATCTCAGTACGGTTCAGACTCGGTGTGATTCTGACTGATCTCAATACGATTCAGACTCTAAAATCAGTGTCATTTAGACTTGATGACTTCTGTTGTGACTTGGTGCAGTATAAATAAACTGAAACGAATTAGGCTAAATGGGATTCAGACTGTAATCTCAGTGCAAGTCTGACTCTAATCTCTACAATTCAGACTTAAATCATTACAGTTTGACTGTAATCTTGATGCTTTAGATTCTAATGTCAGTAAAGTTCAGACTCAATGCGATTCAGACTGATCTCAATGCGATTCAGACTCGATGCAATTCAGACTCAATGCGATTCAGACTCGATGCGATTCAGGCTCTTGATTTCATTGCGATTCAGACTCGATGTGATTCAGACCCTGATCTTCATGCAATTCAGACTCTAAAATCAGTGTCATTCAGACAGTTCTAAAAGAGATTAAAATCGTAATCTCATTGCAATTCAGACTGATCTCAATGCGCTTCAGACTCTATGGGATTTAGACTCTGATCTCAATGCGATTCAGACTCGATGCGATTCAGACTTGATGCGATTCAGACTCTGATTTCAATGTGCTTCAGACTCAATGTGATTCAGACCTTGATCTCAATGCGATTCAGACTCACTGCGATTCAGACTCTGATTTCAATGTGATTCAGACTCGATGCGATTCAGACTCTGATTTCAATGTGCTTCAGACTCGATGTGATTCAGACCTTGATCTCAATGCGATTCAGACTCACTGCGATTCAGACTCTGATTTCAATGTGCTTCAGACTCTGTGATTCAGACTCGATGCGATTCAGACTCGATGCGATTCAGACTCTGATTTCAATGTGATTCAGACTCGATGCGATTCAGACCCTGATCTTCATGCAATTCAGACTCTAAAATCAGTGTCATTCAGACAGTTCTAGAAGAGATTAAAATCGTAATCTCATTGCAATTCAGATTTTAATCTCTGTATGATTCAGACTCTTATTTCATTTACGGTTTGACTGTAATCTTGATGAAATTCAAACTGCAATCTCAATGCAAATCAGACTATGATCTTTCTGCTTTAGATTCTAATCTTGGTACAGTTCAGACTGTTCTCAGTGCGATTCAGACTCTGATGTCATTACAGTTCGACTATAATTTTGATGAAATTCCGACTGATTTCAGTGCAATTCATGTTCTAATCTCAATGCCCTCAGAACCATGCAATTTAGATTAATGTAAATGAGATCCAAAGTCTAATTTGATGAAATTCATACTGTAATCTAGATGCAATTCAGACTCAAAAAATCTTGCTATGTTTTGTATTCTAATCTTGGTATAGCTCAGACTAATCTTGAAGAAATTCAGATTAATCTCAGTGTGATTCAGACTCATTTTGTTGCAAATCAGACTAATTTCAATTAAACTGAGATATACAATTCAGATTTAAGTCACAATGTTATTCGGACAAAGTTCGATGTAATTCAGACTCTAATGGTTCTCATCACAATTCATTTCAGACTCGAATCATAATGTTAATCAGTTCTGCTTGCAGACTCTTTATTAAATTACTGAACATTTGGGATTTCACTCATGCACTTTAGTGCATGTAGATGTATTTAAAATGTGTTTCATGATCATCCAGTGCCGTCGCTCTGGCACGCTTCTCGAGTCTTCAAAGATCTCTTCTCCAGCAAACCCCCATGGCTCCGTTTTTATCATTCTGTGTACAAAGGCCTGGAAAACCACTGCCAAACACATAGCAGTCTTCTTCTGCCAACTTGTGCCCCGTTCAGTACTTGGGAGGCCCTCAGCCAGGCTTCTGGGAGACCTTGAGCCTGTATCAGCAGTCGGAGCAGAGATGGAGGAACAGAGGAATGTGTGGGAAGACGAGCTGGGCAATTAGGGTCTTTCAAGTTCAGCCCGGTGTCTGGAAAAGGTGCACTCACTTGTGCTACAGCCCTGTGCGTGGGTGTGAACGTGCGTCTGAACAGCCTTCTGTGTGTTCTACTGCTCAGGTTCCTCCGTCCATTCACGAACGAGTCTTAGTTCTGTTGACTACCAAAAAGTACAGCGTAAACAAAGACTTGCAAATTAAAATATAAAGGATTTAAAGTGCCAATTCCTGCAGGACAAAGTAATCAAACGGAGGGATTTCTATTCAAAAATTATAATCTTGAATAGTAAACGTGTTGTGATGCTAGTGGTGAGAAATCCTTATTTGCCAGTGGTTTTTCTCATCGGAAACAAAACGATTTAAACTGGAGACTGCACCATTATTTACGAATTCATTTTATGTATGCTGTTTTTGACAAACTGTTGTTTTCTAACCCTTAAAACTGCAAATAATCTGGCGCTCAATTGGCTAATCATTGGGGATGTCAAAATAGTGAATTAATGTTTATAAAATGATACTCGTTTCCTTTAAAAAATTTTATAAAGAATGGTCAAATCTATGTTTCTTCTCCGTAACAGAAGCTAACGGCTAATAATTTTTAACATCTGTGTTTTGAGCTAAACATTACTGTGTTTAAGTTAATTTAATGTGTATTTATTTAACTTTGTTTTTTTAATTGAATGACTGCTGACTTGCCTTCTGCCCATTGGTCTTGCACAAAGACAACATTAATATTAAAGTTAATGTAAGAATACTGGGCCATTGATTTTTTTTTTCCCACCTCGTGATTAGGCCTGTCACGATGAACAATAAATCAATGTTATGTGAAATGAAAATTATCGACATCATTTTCATTTATCGGCTCTTATCGTTTCTTCTTGTCTTTCATTCTGAAGACACTGGAAGACAAAAAGCTCAACTCCGGTGTTCTTCACTGACCCCTCCCTTTCTCTTCTTTTTAAAATCTGTTTTAACCGTCCAAAATTGCGTTTTTGGATCGTTAAAAGCAGCTAAGCTAAGAAGCTAGCTACAAGCTGAGCTAACAGGCCGACCTTGGGGGGGGTGGGGGGGACCTCTGTCTTGTCGGAAGCTCCAAAATTCACAGTTGAAACCAGTACCTTTGTCTAAAAAGTTGTTTTTCTTTGCAAAAAGAAGCTGAGAACTTGTTTCACAGATTTTTGTGAAAAATGCCACGCTAAAGAGCTCGAACCACACCGAGCGGTCGCCATTTTGAGAACTGAATAAAGGAAGGAGAGACAGCCCATGTCACGTCAAGGGGCCTCCCTCCCATTTTTTTTAAAGAGACGCTGCTCGCTCCCTCACTATCCATCCTTCGGTTCAAACTGTCTTATACTGCCATCCAGTGGTTGAAAAAAGGTACTACACTCGAAACAATTTAACCAACATTTCTTCTTAAGACGATATCGTTTATCACAATAATTTCTGAGACAATTAATCACCCAGCAAAATTTATCATGACAGGCCTACCCGTGATATCAAAACTAACTAGTATTGAGTATTTTTCTTCGTACTGATATAGGGTTTGAAATTTTACTATCATGACAATCCAATGTTCTTTCTCCCCCGTGCTAACTATTGATAATTATTAGACGAACATCCGACTGTACTATCATTTTAAGATGAGCTGAACGACACAAATGGTAGAATTTGTTTTACAAAACAGTATACACGCATGCAACTTCCTAGTTTCAGCTTCACTGTTTTTTCCATTCACAAGGTCAAAAACAGCAGATATACATTTCTCCGTAGAGAGTTTATCAACTTTGGGATACGCAGGAAATGAGTATTGCTGTCCAATCATAATACACAAGTACTGAGAATACTGAGTCTTAGGTCTACACTGTAGATTGAAAATCCATCATAACCAGAAAATCTTATTTTGCAATGTCCGTCAGTCTCAGTCCAGATGCTTTTATTTGGCCATCCGATAGTCCCCATTGTCCTAAATTCCTACAGCTGGTTTAGAAGAGCAAAGATGAAATGCTATAGCTAACGTTCAATCAACTTTTAAGGAGTGTTGAGATGATGGTAGGAAAAAAAGAGAGAAAAATTTGAATTTATTGCAATTGTTGTTGCAAAAGTATATCGCAATTGCACCTTTTCCCAAAATTGTACAACCCTAGATATCACACACTCGTTCACATTGTCCATGAATATTTTCACTTTCATCTACAACGACTTGCATTTGGCTCTTCTTCTGGAACGTTCTAAAATCTAACGTGCGCCGAAACGTTTCTTAAAACCGACATTAAGCTGCTCAAACATTGAACGCTAACGGTCTCGGAGATAAACTGCCCCGTGCTTCTTGGACGTATTACAACGTCACTAATAGGGAAACCTGAAGAGATGCGCTTTCCCAAACACAAGAAAAGTATTACAATTAGTAAATTGTCTGAAAATTTACTATTATCCTATTGAATATTATTTAGTGAATTTCAGCTAACATTTCCCAGGAAGATTCTGGTAAAATGCTACACAATGTTAGGACTTTACACATCAGTACCATCTGATCTTATGCGACAACGAAGGACAAAAAAAACAAGCTGAGTCACCTTTGGCCCTGATGGAGAACTGCTGAGCACGCATCGTGTTCTTCTCTGCATGTGATGAGGCAGCTCTCCAGAGGTAAAATACAAGGATGGTAAACAAAATACCCTCCAAAAATCATCTAATTTTAAATAAAAAAAAAACTGATCAGTTGGTGAGAGTTGGAAAAACAAGGAACAAAATGTTACGTATAAACAGTTTGGTTCGAGTGTTTGCACAG